AAAATGACGAAAACATGTCCATGAGATCAATTTGCGCAGACTTTCCAACCCATGATTCATGCCCATGACCCCAGACCGAAAGCCAGAAGCTCGCAAGCGGCTTAATGACAGCTCACAGGCGAGGAAGCAATCGCCAGCCTGCACAAGAGTGCCGTTGAAGGTTTCTGATTGGTTTGATAGGCAGGGACAAATTGGAAAAAAAAAACATGGCAAAATGTTTACTTCAAGGAAAAGCAACAGTTGTTGCTTGGCGAGACCCCACCCAAATATTGCACATAGCTAAAGGCCCTTCCATGATAATGTTGGATCCTTCCCAAAAACAAGAAGCACCCCAGAAACGTGGGGAGGGAGGCTGCCCATTCGCATTTCCGCAAAAAAGATAAACACACCCATTTGGTGGCTACGTTCACGTGTTGATGAGGCCCGGCGTGACCCTGGTAGAGAAGCAAAAATTCATCACCCTTTGTTCTCCTTCTTGTCAGCGCGTTCCAAACTCAAGGACTCACCAAAGGCCAAAGAAAACCATGTTTTCAGGGTCCCCAAAATCATTGGGAACAAATGTAACGAAACGGAGATGGGAGGAAAATCATCCAACTCCATCAATGCTTGGTCCTTCCAGAAGGGGACACAGAATGAGAGAGATTCAGGACTCGCGCAACTGTTGGTACACTTTTTTGTGCTTCAAAGTGAAAGGACGCATTCGATGGGGCTTTTTTTTGGGACGAGAAGCGTGGTTGTGGAACATGACCTGGTCTGTAATGCCGCCGTTGATTGCCATGACTACTTTAGCACTTAGCGGATTCCCTTGGTATCACAGAGCTGACAACCGAACAGCTTCTGTTTGCACAACCTCGAGCCGGGTCCAAAAGGGAAAAAGCTCCAAGTACCTTCTGAGGAGGTACGCTACCCCCTTTTAACCCCCAAAAGCAATCCTCAATGGGTACCAAGGGACCCAAGGTGAGGAATTCCAACCCTTGATTCCCCTCCGAGCCTGCGGTCTGCGGCGCTCTCACGGGCGCCAAGCCTCCGCCCAGTTCTCGACCCGGAAGACCTCCGCGCGGCTGCTGCCGAGGGCGCGGCCTGGTCCGTTTTGCTTCTGAACTGGCCCATCAGTTGACTGGACAAACTGGGAATGGGTCAAACGTAGGGGAACGCCCGCAAAATGCAAACCGGACATACTCGAACTACCTGGAGTGAAAAAATGGGTCCATGACTCCTTTATTTGGGTAATGACCCCATGTTTTAAGGGTCATGGAGACTCCAGGTAGGCCATAAAACAACAGCCAAAAGTTGTGGAAGCGGCCGTCGGTAGCTCAGACATGAAGCCAAGAACAGGGGGTTTGCCTCCCGCAAGAAGCTTTCCAAACACTCGGGTGTGAACTCACAAATGTGGATACGATCTTACACGCATGCAGTACATGGGTAATAATATCTTCTTGAGAAACGGGTAGTCAGTCAGTTGATGGGGGCATAGAGTGGGGCGGGCCGTTTTAAGATTGAAACCGATACTTCTCAGGCAAAATCAGGGGCACCTTGTTCTTGGTAGTTGATTTTAGAGGGAAACCCCTTGCAAGGAAAGCAGCAAACCACCAGAGGTTGTACAGACTCCCTTATCCCAAAGCTAAGCGCGAGAGAACCCTCAAGGACAGTCTTTACATAAACAAAACGCAAGGTAAACCCAGAAGGTGCACCCCAAAAGGGAAATCCGCACTGGGTCTATGGGAATCCACCCTCGGATTCGAATCCAACAGCCGCCTAAGTCCTGCAAAAGCTCCTGCAGTCGATCCTCCCTGCAGGCCCCGCGCTGCAGTAGCATGCCTTGCAGAGAACAGGAGTGCCCCCTACTGCAATCCGCGCAATTTTAGTTGGCATATGCTGAAAACTGCTTTCTTCGTCATGCTAAATGCAAACAAATGAAAAGGTATTTGGAGTAGGGGGTGTCTTTTGGCAAAGCTGGACACCCAGCTGGAAACTGACAAGAACAACCATAAGTGCACTTTTGGGGTTCCTTTCGGTCGGTCAACCGCCTCTATGTTTCGACCAGTCTCTGGACAAAAGGCTGGCAGGAAATGGGCTGCCCAGCCATTTCTCTGCCATGCGTGATGTACATGGAGACTTTTGTCCACCGACCATTCTGGACGGTGTTTTCCCGTTAAAAACAAGGATAGCCGTATCAAAACGTCCCAGGGTCCAAGTGGCTTTCCTCGGGGCCTGGGTCAGTTTGAGCATACTAGTGAAAATACCCTATGCGAGTATGCTGCCATCGTCCATCATTTGCCGACGTGGGAATTTGCTCGAGTCCACTGGAAAAAAACACATATTGTTCCATCCCTTTAAAACCAACAGGCGAAAATAGAAAATCTTAAGCAAACGGAAGTGGAAGAACTGTTTATCCAACCAAAAGAAAGCAAGCTACACAGTTTACTCGAGAACTGGAGTTTCCCCTTCCAGAAAGCCCAACGGGTCTAAATACCATGGTTGTTCCCTAACATTTTCCTCAAGATGATGAACCAGTCTGGATTTGCTGATTTTGAACCCATCAGCCCCCGGGTTTCACCAACCTCGGGAACAGCCCTGGCCGTGAATTCGAAGGTACCGAGGGCCATCTCAGCCTCCGCCCGCAAAAAGTGGCTGAGACCGGAAGGAAGTTGGGCGAACCAAAGGAACCCAACCCACTTCTGCTCGGAGCACTGGCCGAGAAGAAAAAGTTGAAAGGCAAATCCTGATGACCAGTAAGAAAAGTAAAAGAACACGGACAACTTGGCAAGATACCTGGGACTTGAAATTGACTTAGGAGCGCTGCTTTGTACTTACTGTACCCTGCTATAAACCTCATTATGATATCCCTCCAAGCAGGCCATTTAGCAGGTATCCTGGATATACACACATTGAAGCTCGAGGTGGCTTCCAACCAGGGGTGCCACTTGCGAAAGGGTAGATGGTAAGTACAATGTCCTTGTAGGCAAGTAAAAGGGGATGACCAAACCGAGAGGAGGGCATTGTGCCATCTAAGTACCTGTAACTTCCTTTTGCAAGCATGCATGCAATTACCGAAGGCCCTACAGTGGATTCCTTGAAACATGCAAGAAAAACCGCATCCAAACATCAAACCCTAGCATGCCAACACGGTCACCTGCCTTGATTAGGCACCCCAAGCTTTAACCCGTCAGAATCATTGCCTGAACTCTGCAGCGCAGGGGTAGCGGCAAACCTGGCGATTGCGTCTACAATTCACAACCCTCAAATCAGTCTCAACCAAAACCTACCAAAGGAGTCTACCCTTTTCGTCCCAAAATATGGAAATAATCAAAAGGGGGGCCGGCCAATTGGCTGGGATTATCTCTCACTCCCTTCGTGGACCCGGGTTTTGATTGTGGCTCTTATATTATGGGGCCCGGGTTCCATTTGATGTCCTTCAAAACCACCCTAGAGTGTGTACCCGAAAAAGAATACCGCCAAGTTTGAACACCCAGTTGCCATGGGCCCCTTTGAATGACAAACAACTGATACTAAAACATGTTTGGTTTTTGAGGTCATCCCAAAGAGTATGGGAGAGTAGAGAATGGCTTGCCCTAGAATGGGTTGCCAACCTGGTGTGCCGTGGTGGTTTGCAGGGATCTTTCCCACCTGAATTCCCGGTGGCAAGCGACGCTCATGGAGGTCGTTGTGTGGGGGAGTTCATTTGTGAAAGGAAACCAACAAACATCAACCGAATCAGGGTTCTCTTTGGACAGCCAAACGAACACCGAGTCATGCGGAGCCCCCCTTGTTTTGAGCCAACCTCAACTCCGAGACCCTTCCGTTGCCAAAGCGCCGAAAATCCATTCGCGAATCGAGACCTTGTGGTATGTGAGTCCCGATAGGCGTCCGACACTTGCTACCAACTCCAAAAGCACACTCGCTCGCACCAAAACTGCAAAATCCATCCGCCCAAAGCGCGCCCAAAATCCACGCGCCCCGATGCGTGTGTTTTGTGTTTTGTTTTGTGTTTTTTTCTTTTTCGGCGCGCCTCAGTTGCAGCACCAGCACGTCTTCGAGGTCCATGTCCAGCAAGCGCTGAAAGAGATCGCGCTGTTGAGCGGCGTCCAGGCAGGGGTACCACACCGCCACCTTGAAAACGGGGCAATGCAACCTGTTGACACCTCCCTGAATGGACCCCTTTTGTCTGCCTTTCCGCTGTCCCGCCTTTTTTTTTGGTGGGGCAAATACAGAAAACATGGAAAAAAAAGGCGCCCCTTGCGGGGTCCAGGATGGCTTAAGCACTGTTCAAACAACCTCCTGGTTGGCTGCCGGGCATCGAGTTGTTGGTTGAACCATTTCGGCCCAACGAATCCAAAGGAAGGCACAAACACCGCGCGAGCGAACTCCAGCCCTGCCTGAATTAAGCTCGGTGAGCTCCGTGGATGAACCCCTCTTTGGATGAACTTTGCTTTCTGTGATCCAGTGATTGTATGGGCTTGCCAGTTTGTCTCAAAATGACGGGACCCCCCAAAAGGTTGAACCAGCCAACATGTGGAATCCTCAAAAAGCACACACCCAGAACACGTCAACCCAACATGGCTGGTCATTGATTGACTTGTCTGGGCCTAGGACCTGCGGAGAACAACTCTGAGCATATGAATCCGATTCATCGGCATTCTCTTCGCACGGGATTCGCTACATGTCCAACTTGTAAACGACCCCCCTCTAACGAAACCACATTCGATCTTGGCCCAAAGTATGGCTTTTGAGACCGCCCAAAGGCTGCACATATTGGACACCTTCGCAGGGTACGTGTTCGATGGGGGCGTACGCGACCACCTTGCCATCGCCCGAGCAACATATGTACAGCACGGAAGCCGAGCTCAGCTCGTCAAGAAGCTTCCCTCTGCAGAATGCCACAAGAAATCCAAAACCTGAAGCAAGGAACCCTATTTCAAGGACTGAATGCATCTCTGAACATAGAAACAGCATAAGGCATACCCCAACCCTTGACGGTTCCTTGAGATGTTCTGAGGATTGTCCAAAAGTATCGGAAGGTTCTTGGAAAGACCGGCCTGGCGAAAATTGCAGCATGCAGCTGCGAAAACTCGGCTCCTTTGGCCAGCACTAGACCCAAGTCTTGGACTTGTCGCTGGCCACGTTCGGTCCAGAATTCGGCGCTATTTACAGCTCGCTTGCGGAAGAACGGCATGACCCCAATCTGACATGGCAGAGTCACAGTCTTGGGCTGCTCGTTGAAGCTAAACATCGCGATTTGCCCTTCGCTGGAGCCTTTGCTCATTTCCGGCCCCATCTGCCCTTGCGCCGCTCCGCTGGCGCTCCCGGAGCTTCGAAAGCTCCGGGAGCTCCGTAGGACACGTCCATACGCACGGCATACTTCACCCCCGAGGTCACCTGCAGGTGAGAACCCATGAACCAATGGCATGAACCACTAGTTGCTTGGTGAATTGACCGTGAATTCTGGCTTTGTGGGAAAGCAGCCCCAGGCCAACAGAATCAGTGTGAGAAGTTGGAAAGCAAGAATTCCCAGCTGAGTCCTTGAACTGGGCTGCAGGGCAATCCATACAAAAGGGGTTATTCAACCACATTCTAACTAGGGTGGTCATCCGAGGTTCTACAAGGGCCTAAACTCATCATGGGCTTTTGCGGGGGTACTTGAAGGAGATATACTCATGATTATGAGAGTAAACCAGTAGCACTGATTTAGCGCCTGACATTGGCCGAAACAATTCAAACAATATCCTCCCACCCACCAACACACATAGAAGTGCACAGTCCCTTCCGGCGTATGTTTATTCTTTTGGAAAGGGATGTTGTGCCCTTCCAGATTCGGCATGTGTTGCTGGGCGGGTATCTATTCCGTGTTGTCGAAACATACTCCCCTGTTGATTCACATGGAACCCGGAAAGCCATCACAAAAGAGGAATCTCCTTTGCGGGGGGGGGGGGGGTAATTTGCACCCAGTCGCCATTTGCCCCCGGTGGTAGAGCTCATGGTCAAAGATCGCCGCCTTCCTTCGCCGGTCACTGCAGAAATAACTTTATCGGGAAGGCTTCCTACTGTGGATGGACGAAATCCTGCACCACTTGGAAACCATGGGAAACCATTGTGCATTGGTATTTACAGGGGAATCATCATTGCTAGGTTTCTTAGGTGGTGCAGGATTTCGTCCATCCACAGTAGGTATGACTTTGGAACCCAAAAGGTCGCTGGTACCTCCTGAAGATGGCTTTTGCGGGGTGCAAAGGGGTCCTTGGCCACCAATTCGAAGACATATCCAACAGACCTCTGCTGATGGTACTGACTGGCAAATAGTTGAAACCAACCTGACACTAGGGCCATCGAATTTCCACCAAACCTAACCTAAACCAGGCACCCATGGATGGCTTCTAATCATAACTGCGGTTTTGGGCGAACACGAAGTAGCCCAGGGAAGCAAATGAGCACAAAGTAGATCACGATGTACCCAAAGCACCCGGAAACACAACTCGGGTGAAGCTGTGGATGATGACCGGGTTGAGGAAGTGACGGTTGACAAGGGAGAAGTATGGGGAGGTTAGAAATCAAGTTGAAGAGGATTAAGTTCAATACCAAGCCCAAGTAGAACAGCGCGACTCACCGAGCACCTCCTACACCCAGCCGCCCGCGGCCCCGACCCTTTTCGGCTCGAGGACGAAGAAAGCTGCCAGTGAATGGCGCACGAGCGTGAGTCCTATTCCCACTTGACGGGAGGTAAAAACTTGAGCCAAACGGCCGTTCGGCCGTTTTGACATATGAAGAAACAACACGTGAACAAAACACACCCCCCTCATCCGATATCTGGACAAGAGAAAGGATGCGAGACAGTTGAGTTCACGACGAAAGGGACCAACCAAAAATGCCGGTGTCAACTCAGAGGTGAGCCAACGGCAGCACCTGGGCCCCAGTTAAAATCCCGCCACCACCCCGAATTAGCGGGGCGACAGGATTATTTGACGAGTGGGCCACATGAGTGAACAGAGACATTATGGAGGAACCAGACGAAGATTCCTCTCGTGCCGTTCATGCATTGTCATGGGACAACAACATGCGGAGGGGGATCCTATCTGGATCACCGCGCCTCACTGCACGCCGCGAAGTGGTTGGAGTGGTAAACGAGTTGGGATCACAGAAGAGAAGGACGTTCCGAAATTGGTGTGAAAATACCCGGCTACGGCCGGCCCGGCACTTCTAGTGCGGTCTCAGCCTCACACAGGATCGCCAGGGGAACCGTCTCCGGCGCGCACGGCAGCGGTGCGGGAGGGACACGAGCAACGCCGGATCAGCGGTACAGGGCAATGGAGACCATCACCCCCAGCAGCGCCGCATAGGCGAGAGGAGGACCGGCGCGGTCGCGTTTCTCGGCGACACACGTACTATCCTCGCCCTTCTAAGGCGGATGCTGATTGCGGTACCCGCCTACCACCCTGAACCAGGTTCTTCCCGGTCCCTGGGCACGTCGTCTCTCCGGCGTCCACCACGGTCACCTCGATCACCTCCTCCATCCCGACGGCGATCCTCACCACCACCCCTATTGTGGTCTCCAGCCGGAGGTCGGCGAGGCGGAGGGGGATCTGATTGGTGACGTCGGTCATCCCTGCGCCGGTCCCGGTGGCGATCGCGACGGTCATCACCCGGGTCATCACGTCCGCGGCGCTCATCTCGTCCCGGACCGCGCCTCTCGGAGGTCTCCTCATGACGTGGATGAGGTCGGCGATCATCGCGTCGGCCTCCGCGGGTATCCCTGCCACGATCATCCCTTTGTCGGGGCGGGCCAGGATCCTCGCGTCCACCTTTGCCAGGTCGATGTTTTCCTCGACCCTTCCCCTCACCCTTAGGACCGCGACGATCCTCGCGGGCCCCAAGCGCGGTCCTCGACCGATCGTCATCTCGGCGGGGCCGCGACTCATCTGCCGCACGAGTGGTCCGAGGCACACCCGGGGGAAGCTCCCACTCGTCGTTGTCGTCATCGCGCGGATCATAGCCGCCGCGGCCGCCCAAGGAACCGGTGGCATCCCGTGGTGGGGACGCAGGAGTTCCGGGACCGCCCGATCGAAGACGAACTCGGGGAGTCGCGTCCTCGCCGGTAAAAGGATCCTTCTGGGTGTAGAAACCCTTGGTCCTGCCCCTTCTCTCCCCACCTTCCACACCGCTTCTCGCGGGGACCGGGGAGGGACGGGCAGGCTGGGCCATGCTCTTAGAGCTGGGTTGCCCGCCAGGCGGGACCTGAACGCCCCCCTGCCCTTTTTCGGGCGCGGGGACCCGACCATGAGATGTCCTCCTGGCCTTGGGTTGGTCGGACTCACCCTCCAGCTCGGACTCGGTGTCAGGGACACGAGTATTGATGGCCGCGTCCTCGTCCTCAAAAGGATCCTCAGCCGTCGTAACGTCAGCCGCAATGGGAGCGGGAGGAGGAGGAGGAGGAGGAGTTGGTACAGCATCGCCAGGCTTGACGCCCGCATGCGACACCACGGGAGTCTCCGGTTCTACCGGGACAGGTGGCGCAGGAGGAGCCGGGGGCAGCGGCGGAGGGGGAGGGATTTCCTCCTCGTCATCGTCCATGGGCTCGTCAGGGTCGTCAGACTTCTCTTCCTCGCCGCACGAGGACCCATCCGATCCCAGCTCGTCCTCCGCAGATCCAGCAAAGTCGGGCTCGTCTTCATCCTTCACGCCGGGGCCTGGTGTAAGGCGTATCCCGGGCCGATAACGATCGCGAGGTCGGAAGCGGTACTTCCGGGGCGTAGGGTCGGACAGCTCCTGCTTGATATCATCCTGGGTTTGAGGACGGTCAGCCAGGCAGGTGTCGTAGGCAACGGTGGACGTCCGGTAGATCAGATCGTCCATACTGCTGAGGTCGTTGAGGGTGTAGACGTACCCCTTCTTAACGCCTTCCCGTATCTTGTCCATAGCCCGCTTGAGGCGCGCAGCAGGATCGAATCCGGCCCTTCTCCGCATGGCCTGCAATATCCCGCAGTGCTGAGCGAGCAGCCTCATCTGGAACTTAAATCCCTCCCCAGACATATCGTTGGGGAGTATCGGAGAAAGATGTCCTGATCTCAGCCCAATGATATGGGCCTCAAGAATGTAGTAGGACGTGTAAAAGCCGCACCGGTTGGCGTTGAAGTTTGCGGTGGTTAGGCGTCTGCCCCATTCAGCCGCATACCCTTCATACTCCTCGAAAAAGTCGGAGACGGAGCTCCCGTTGAAGGCAAGACCTCTTACCAAGATCGCCTTTGCAACCCAGTCTTCCACGTTGTGGTCGACCGTATCACGGTACTTCCCGTCAACAACCTCGTCCCGGAGCGAGTCGTGAAGCTTTCGGAAAATGCCATCCACGTCCTCTTTGTCGAGGTACTTAGGAGGCCGCATCCCAGACATCAACAAGGACCGGGCGTCGACGGCGGGACTCTGCGAGTAGAGGGCCATCCCGATGGCGTTGGCATCTGCGTTGTTCCACAGAGCGGGGACGAAGCCCTCGTACTTTGCCAGCCAGGGAGGGACCACCCCGTTGGTACTCGCTATCGTGCGAGGGCCGCCGTCCGTGTCTCCGGTGGGCAGGACGCCCTCATAGAAGATGGGAAGGTAGCAGGCGGTGCACAGGTGAGCGCCGACCGGGTGAGCCGTCATGCACCTATGGCATGGAACGGACACCACCTCGCGGACATGTTCCGCCTTGGCGATCTGGTGATACTTCTCCATTTCGTCCCGACATTTCCTCGGGTTATCTCTCACGGAGTTGAGGAAGTTGGGTGGATAGCACCAAGGCCTCAGGTAAATGATGGAGCAGTCCTCCTTGAAGTAAACGCATCTCCAGTATCCGATCGCGATGTTCTCGCGCGAGGCAAATGTACCCTGACGAGTAATATGCATGCCCCCATTTTCCATGGAGAAGAAACGTGCATCGATAGCCATGACCACATAACGGGGATCGCTCCTCTGGCGTCGACCCGAGGTGTGTAGCTCCGTCACGTTGCTGTCGGTGATGCGGTCGACAGTGTCGTTCGGGCACTCTCCGTGATCGCGGAGGGATTGATACTCATCCGGCCGAGAGGGAAGGAGCTCGATCAAAGCTCGCCCACCCCGAATGATCGCCCCACGTTCTACGTAGAGCCGATACATCCGGAGAGGCACCACCTTGTAGAGCGTCTTGGGAACCACCTTGGAAGTGATGGGAAGACAGACAGGGCTCTCGTAGAGCATGTATTGATACCGTTCACGAAATGCCCGGTAATCAGTGTCGGATCCAATCTCAAGTGACCTTACCGCCGCTATGCGTGCGGATCCAGGCAGCAACCAATGCTCCTTGTCACGAATGACGGTGATGATGATTTCGAACATTCCCACTCCGTCCTCGAGGAAGGAGGCCAGGAGATACGATGTAAAAGCTTCCTCGGATTCGACACTTGTGCCGAAGTAGTGGCTCAGGAACTTCTTCAGTTGTATCACCGAAGTGACGTTCCCTTGTCCGCTGGCGGACGAGGCCTCCAATTCTGGGTCCTTGACTGCACCTGCATTTCCAGGCTGCACCGCTGTCCCACGGAGAGCGTCGCGTATTTCCGCGCATGCTCTCCTGTAGTAGTGCGAAGAGGCGCCCGCCCTACCCTCCACCTTCTGACGGATCTCGTCGGTGAAGTAGTCCAGAAGCTCCTCGGGTGCGGGAACAATGGCCTGGATCATCAGGTCAGGGTCACTCTTGGTCGGGAGGATAGGTCCCGCTCTGGACCTCACTCCCATCTCCAGGAATTGGGAGATGTCCCCGATTTTGGCACACAGAGTGGCGATCGTGTTCCCGATCCTGGGGGCGATATCTTCGCCTCTCCTGGCGCCGAGGATGACCATATTTTTCTTGATGGACTCCGCCTTCAGCCTCTCGAGGTTCCTCCGGGTGTCATCAGTGCCCTTCACCGCGCTGAGGCGGAGAACCGCAGGCTCCGGCTTGTCCGGTCGCACGAGCTGGCCGTCGGGGATCTGGTCGAAAATGCGTGAAGCGGACTTC